GTATTCTATTGACCAAATTTCTTCTTTCAATTATTTAATCTTTTTTGTAAGGTTTTGGTTGAAATGAAAAAGCTAGTGCCACGAGCGGGATCTGAATCCATGGCCTTCGGCTAAAAACGCCGCTGCTCTACCACTTGAGCTATCGTGACTTCGATCCTCTCCGGCACCAAAAAATGGCAAAAAGAGAGAAAATTCGAAAGGTTGTAGGTTGAGATGGGGAGTTGGTGCCCGAGTGGATCGAACTATCGAAGTCAGGATAGCTCAAGTGGTTAGCGCAGCGGCGTATTTAGCCGAATGTCGTGGATTCGAATTCCCTCGTGACACTATTTTTTCATTTCATCCAAACCTTACAAAAAAAATATTTACTCCAGCTTGTTACCCCCTTGATTAGAAAACAAAAGACAGTCATGAGAGAAATCATCAATACAGGGATGAACTACAAAGAACTTAAGTTCTCTACTACGATTTCTGATCATTGTTAGGGGTTATCAATACCGCATTTCTCATTCCATCCTTTGTTTTGAAAACGTCAACCAACTGGTTGAGGATGGAATTTCTTTTACTTCTATCGCGGTAATATAATCATTGTCAACAACTTTCATAAACATGGTAAACTTTCATACAATTGAATCACCTCAACAATAAAATCTCGATTGGATGTCATTAACAATAAAGAATAAACGTTTTTGACTTTTTGAGAATGTACGACGGAGAAGTTTGCTCAGTGACAGAAAGACGGAGACTGCGCCAAAAAAACGAGGGTTTTCCCATTCACGACCAGGCCAGCGCGCCAAAATTCCCACCCTCCACGCCAGGTTTTCCCATTCACGAACGCGCCATGCCGTCGTCGCGCCGTAGATATTTGGAGTGGCGCGATGGAGTTTGGACCGGTCGAATATTCGGCACAGCCGGGCACGCCAGCTCAGTTTTGCCATTGACATGGTTTTTGGAACGGCGTCGTTTTTGGACTGCTAGGAGCGATCGTGAATGGCCACCTTAATGCTTGTTTTGTTCTGTGCGTAATATTCTTGGATTATTGAAGTCGAAATTATGTTGGTGTTCAAAATGGTGAGTAGCCAGAGCTGTAGGATTTGGTTTGGGTTGTTTGCAATCATAGATCTATGATCATTTCACATCCTAAATGTATTTGTATACTTTAGACATTGTTTATAAATCCCAGGCACTGAAGATGATCTCGAAAAAGATCGAAACGTTGGCACGATAGAGAAAATTTTTTTCTAAAAACTTCGTCACACCAGACCGCATCTCATGATCTTTAGTGATGCCTGTTGAGATATTGCGTTGATTGTTTGTCTATTATTGGTCTACAATAGGCTAAAAGAATCGTTTTGATATGTTGAGTTCTAACAGAAGTGTACATAACCTGAGAAAATACAAATTTTCAGAAAAAGCGATATTGTGATCATGCCAGAATTATTCACTTCGCCGGCAGAAAAATGTTGAAAAAAGAAGTTCAAAGAGTTAAGTTCCCTAGGTAATGTGGGTGGAGTCGGAGGACGTTTAGCAGTATTTATGCGATTGCCATATATTGAGAGTTCAAAAAATGAGCATACAATTTTTTTGTTTTAACGAGAAAGAAATTTATGTTAATGTTAACTGATTCAGAATGATCAGAAATGCCACTATTCTGTTTGAGAGCTTACAGATTTTTTCTAGTGATTTAGTTATAATGATTATCTTATGTTAATAATATATGGAAGTCCTGATTGTGAATAGTGATTTTGATAAAGAGAAATCTTCTTTTGGTTTGAAATAAATTTTTAAAATTTCTATATTATTTTCTCGTTTATCCCTCAAAGGGTGTGATATTTTTTTAAGTATCTGTTGAAAGTTGTTGAACTATAATGCATCAGCTGTTCACTCAAGCATAAATCTCGCATATTTTGTCCCGAGTGATATATGTACCGCTGACGTTGAAAGGAACTAGGAAATGATGAGAACCGGGATCGGCCGATCCCCGTAGAATGTCGTCCGCTCGGCAAAACTAATATTAATACCGTGACGGCACGCGTCTCGGGCATTACAAGTGTCCTCGACAGTCGCTTCATTGTCACGAAGGAGGGTCGTCGGTCCCGATTAATCGCGGCTCTGTTACACCCCCTGCTGTATCCGAATCCTGCTCCTGACATTGTTGGCTTTGTGATGTTTTCGGGGCGGGGTGATGGCAGATGTTCCTCTTTTTTTTTAATTTTCATCTCTAACCACAAGCTTCGAAAAACCCCATTACTTAGTTCCGGGTGCGGTTTATGGTCCGGCAAACTAAAACTCGTAAACTGCAAACAATGAGTTTAAACAATAAAACGTCTTAATCATTGAGTAAAAACTTAAGGGTTCAAACATAAATACCACACCAAATAGAAACAAATTTGGTAAATTTATCGTCGGGAATTGACCAAAAATCAAGAGTTGTTTAAAGGCAAAAGACATTTTTCTACTTGTTTATGTTTAATTAGTTTTGCCGTGATTTGACTATCCATTCTTTTTAGGTAAGCCGAACAAATTTCACCATTGACCACCTCAACCTGACTTTATTTAACAATTTGTGTCGTGAGGAGCGATTAATAATGAGGTCGTTTAAAAAAAAACCTTTTTCATTTTTTGCCGACGTTTAGACCTTTATTCGGGTCATCTTTGAAGCATAAAGTGTCGTGCTATTCTTGTGGTGTCATATTGATTTTTAGTGAATGTGTTGTGATTTTCTGACTGAGGCTCTCCATTACCCGATATTAATACCTGGGTTTTGGGATTTTATCAGCCCGAGAATGGTGGTAGTGTCTGTAGTGGTCAGAAGGTCAGGACCCAAATGTCACCCTAGTGTTTTTTATGATTTCTCTACAAGGGCCTTCTCATGGGTGGATGGTAAGCACTGTTGCCATTCCTTGGCGCTTTGGTTTCCGCATATTATCAGGACAACCTCTTTTTCAACGTATCCATTCCTGAACTGAAGTCCTTTGGAGGTTTTACAGCTCCAAACCTCAACCAGGCTGGCCCGCTGACAGCCCGCCAAATATGTTGGGGAGATGACCCGATCGACACTGCTTCCCTAAATTTCGTTTTTTTAGGGCATGTCTTGGGAGCAATTCCGCTCAAGAATGTGGTGCCTACCTAGTGACCTGTCCCTTTTGCCACTTTTGGTTGGTGCTGGATTCAGTTTTGTGGGGTCAATGCTTCCAGTGGTCGGCCTCGGCGCCGGGGTAAAAAGAAATTACAAGTTTGCTTCCCTTTTCTTATTCTCTTTAGTATTGGCTCCCACTTTTGTTTGTCACTTCGATTGCCATTATACGCCTCTGTGTCCCTGATATTTTCTTGGGCTTGAGGTATAGTTTTCCTATCTTCTCCATCACCTCGAATTGAGTGTTTTCGTCTTTTGGTTTGGCTTTTTCTTGAAGCCCCTCTGCTATCTGCAGAAACTGACGCGAAGTGACTGTCATCTAATTCGTTGTTTATGTGAGTTGAAGAGGGTACGGAGCAGGCCAGTTTTTGCGGTCTTCCTTTCCAGCTTCCCCCGATATTTTTTTATTTTCTGTTTGTTTTTCCATATGGATCCCACGAGTATGAGGGATCGAAAGGTCCGCACCGGAGGTGTCTTCTCCCCGGTTACTCACCTGAAACCTTTGAAGTTCCCTTATTCGTACAGTTACCCATGAACCATCCATCCATCTGGAATGTCTCGGCCTCTATGAGTTCTCTCTAATCTACACTTGGAAATCTAACCTTGACAAATATTATTTCTTGTAAGCTTGTAAAGGACCAAGGATAAGCCACCAAAACGATCGGAAACGACCAAATGACATTTCGTAGAATCCAGAAGCCGGACTCGTTTTATATCGTATACTCAACCTTGACACCCTTACGATCAAGGTGGTTCCTTAAAGGTCATCTCAGGTCGCGCATTCACTCACTTTCTCTGGTTCGACTCCATGGCCGCCATGTCCTCCGCTCTGACAACAAAGCTGCAAATTCGTGTTACGGGTGTTATTTGGTCGTACTTCATCATCATTCTGAAAACATCTGCAAGAATAACGATTGTGTTCACAGTTAACAGGATATCGTAATAATAACTTATCACACAACCTAGATAATATATCTCTTGTCCTTAATTCAGTCGCGACAGAAAAAAAAATATATAAAATTATACTATTAGACGCGTATTGATAATATGAACGAATGATTCGAGACAATCCATCGCACATGGCCTAAGTAGATACAGCATTTTTATAACAATTTTTTTTCATAGACAGGCAAATAATGCTTATTAAATACAAATATACATTTCGTGTAAATAATAGGAAAACAACAAATAAAACAAATATTTGAACATTGATGAAATAAAATAGAACAAAAATAAATCAAAAACAGAACTAGACCCACATTTGAACACTAGAAGAAATGCAGTAATTTTTTCTCATAATGAATCCTTTTGTTCAAGTTGTTCAGCAAGCAGATCGATACATCATCTCATCTTTAGTATCCTAATTATATTTATATTATATAATTAAATATAAATATTGAAATAAATATAAAAACTTGTGTGTATACTTGTAAGTACAATAACACAGATGAATAAAAATATGCGAATATAGGACATAGGAAGGTACTTCTGAGTATGACATAATTTTGAAAGCCAAGTTCCATGTTTTATCATCATTCAGTCAGGTTTCTGTGAAAATATTTAATTCAGAATGAAGAATCATGGTGTTAATGTATTTATATCTGGACTTATTTTCAACATTGTCGGTTTACTAGCCAAAAATCATATTTAATGTGTTGCACCTAACCAAAAATAAAGACAATAAATGATTAAATTTTTTTAAACCTGTTTTTAATATAAAACAATAAAGTCCAAATTTTTATCGAATACAACAAACCTGTTGTTATACGAAAGCGGAAACTGGCACACACGCGTTTGTAGTGCTTTCCCAAGGCCGTTTATTGGAAAGAAGCGATTGTTGAAATATTTGTTGACTGTTAACATGGAGGGGAAACATGTTGCATAACGACAGATTACGAGGTTTAGTCTGTGCCTTGATCTGAATGGGTTCACGCCTGGATGAATCAAAAGTAAGTATTAAATTTTGTTTAGCTTTTGTCTGTCTTCTTATGTGTTTCCTGTTAACAAGTTTGTTGCAATTACTCTGTACTATCTTTCATACTTTCTTACCTTCAATGACTCAACAACTAAAAATTTTAAATATCATCGCCGTCTCTTTCACTTATTGGAAGGTTTACAGTTTAAATTTATACTTCTGTTTTGTATTATAATTCAGGAAAATTATGATTTAAAGTAGTAGCTTTTATAGCTTTTATATCACTAATATAATAAACGGAGCTTCTCTTTCTAAGCATAGATTTTGTTCTATGCTTAGCAACGGGAAACACAAATCAAATCGGTTAGGTTTCCTGGTCCGATTGACCAAATAAATTCTTTTCAATTAATTATTCATTAAGTAAGGTAATTTTTATTTCAACCAATACCTTACGGAAAGATTAATTAATTGAAATAAATCAAATCTTGTAAACGTTCTTAGGCGAAACTTGTTTAAATTCTTTATATTTGTTAGGAAAAGAAATTAATTTTAAAGTAAAAATATAATTTTTATTACGATAAAAATATGTTGAAAAGCACATATCACACACATTTGTTTCTCATTCTTTATTAGTTTATGCGAACCACTAGCATTGCATGAATGGTCACTGCATTTATTTTACAAAAGTATTGCTCAACTTTTTTCAAATAAAATTTACAAATATTCGAATATTTTTGGTAAAATGCCATTCTGATTCTGCACAATCTAAGCAGAAATGATGTGTAAAATCTAAACGAGTTTGATCGGAAGTTTGTTTGTTCTCAAATAGACAGGTGTTCAACGCTTGCCGTTGTTGTTCCGGATTTTCATAGAATAAATAATGATTTGTATTTTGTAGGCCAAAATCATGTTCGTATAAACATAAACATAAATCCTTTACATACACTAATTTTGTGGTCCGCTTGACCAATTAATATATTACAATTAATTAAGGTTTTTAGTTGAGATAAAAAAGTCAATGGCACGAGCGGGATTCGAACCCACGATCTTCGGCTTGATACAACGCTGCTCTACCACTTGAGCTATCGTGACCTCGATTCTCTCGGATAACCCTCAACCGCACCTTTTGAAATTTCCCTCCTTTTTTCATTTTTTTTTTTTTTTTAAATCTCAAACCTTCCCGCAACCAGAATATATCCTCATATTCTTTTTTAACTACAACACCACCACTGAAGATGGCAACAAGCTGAAGCACGTCTGTAAGACTGAAAATATTCAGAAATGATCAAGCAATCTGGTTTACTGAATCTAGGATGGGGTAGGAATAGAATTACATTGAGTACGAATACTTTGATTGAATTTAAAATTTTCTAGCTTTGTATAAATTCATTTTTTATATCTAAAATTTTCTAGAATTGTATAAATTCATTCCTTTTTTAAATCTAAAATTTTCTAGCATTGTATAAATTCATTCCTTTTTAAATCAAAAATTTTCTAGCATTGTATATTTTGTTAAATCTAAAAGTTCGAGAATTGTATAAATTCATAATATTTTTTTTCACATTCTACATGTATTTGTGAAATTTAAACAATGTTTATAAATCCCATGCCCTGAAGATGATCTCAACAAAGATCGAAACGTTGGCATGATGAAGACAATGTTTTCTGAAACCTACATCACACCAGACCGCATCTCACGATTTCGGAATCTTTATTTACATATCACACATCCACAAAAAAGTGACACATCTCAAAGAATAGTTTACATGACAGATAGTTGAAAGTTTACTTTTTTATGTATTAATTACTCACCCTTAAAGCTAGCTATAAAAACTGACTTGATCCATCTTTATTTTCTTTCTTTTGGCAAAAAATGGCAAAAAGGAGGGAAAACTCAAAAGGTGCGGTTGAGATGGGAAGTTGGTGTCCGAGTGGATCCAGGTCACGATAGCTCAAGTGGTAGAGCAGCGGCGTGTCAAGCCGAAGATCGTGGGTTCGAATCCCGCTCGTGCCATTGACTTTTTTATCTCAACTAAAAACCTTAATTAATTGTAATAAATCCCTTACGTTTTGATGCATAATTCTGTTTCAAAAAAGGGTGATAATGTAAGACCCTTTTTGTACTATGTAACACAAAATGTACTAAACCAAAAAATGTTTATTATTAAAAATTTATTCAAAAGCATTATCCAGCAAGGCGAAGACCTATTAGCTTAGGTAAATTAATAATACGAAAAATATTTCTACGAGGAAGGGTTGGGTAAAAAAATAAAAATATTTAAACCGAAATATGAATTGTCAATTGATTCAAATCAAACAGAAAGGTCTATTTACCATAAAATTTACCTTAATAATATCAATAATCCCATATTGTAAGTTATCTACGACCACGGGTGGTAGGGACTTAGGTGAAAGTTGCATGTCTGTCGCTCCTTTTCAATGTCGATATGTGAATGGATGCTATTTTTAGATTATTATAGCCGCTCTGCACGAAGTTCTCGTCTGGTCGCTTCAACAAGTGTCATCCGTTTGTCAATATCACCGCGAAGGTTGCTCAGATTAGATGTGGAAAATGATTAAAAATAACTCTTTTCAGAAATAATTTGTTGAAGTAGTGAGGCATGGTCAGGAATGACTTGTTTAAAAAAACAACTTTTCGTTTCCACCCCGACGTTTCGACCTTTACTCGGGCCATCTTCAGAGTCTGGGTGAATTACAAAATATACGTTGAATGAGAAAAATACAATAGAAATTTAAATATATAAATTTTGAACTAAGGATTTCATACTCGCATAAAATGTTGCGCTATTCTTGTAGTGTCGTGTTTGTTTCAGTGAAACTTAATGTGTTGGAGAGCCTGCTCAAATAAATGAAAAGATCAATTTGTTGAAAAACTCCCAAAAGGAAAAATCTTAGAAATTAATAAGATTGTATAAAGACAGAAGTAAGCGTTAATATTGTTTAATATATATCATAGTTTTAGTCGAGTGTAGTTGCTTGTGTCCTGATATTTATTTAACTATTTATTATGCATGTAATTTTATTTATTTAATTCACTTTTGTTGTGCTGTATATACAGTAATTTATTTATTTTGTACATTATGATGTGTACTTACCTATAATTGTCTCAAACCAAAAGTAACATTGCAGTATGTTTTATGCTCAGTGGGTACTTTACGATACTAGTTATTAAGTTTTTTTAGTGCCTTTGAATTTCTAATTTTTAATGTCAATGAAAGCAAATACCTTGAATAGATTTGGTATAAAAAATGGAGGTAGAAACAAACCTGTCAATACACCAATTTTTAAGTGATTACGTAACACAGTGAGGAAAAGATAGAGGGCGGTGTGGTCGAGATAAAGGTTAAGTCTGAAACAAAACTATTTATAAGCTCTCCAAATGTCGGAACTACATTGCTGCTGGATTTAATTTAATAAGTTTTTATTATTGTAATACAAATAAATTTTATTCTTAATTAATGTAGCCATGAAGGAGGGCCCCGGAAATAGATAGCGGAAAAATAAAAGGAAAATAAAATAAAGGTTATTGTGCTCATTATCATCGCCACTTCCAGAAAAGAAAAAACATCAATAATTTTAGTTAATTAATCTGTATTTAAGTTATTGGTTAAGATAAAAAAAGTCAGTGTAACAAGCGGGATTCGAACCCACGACCTTAGTCTATATACGGCTCTACCATTTGATCTATTGTGATTTCGATCCACTCGGACACTAACTTCCCATCATAACCCCACCTTTTGAATTTTCCCTCCTTTTTTTTCTCAACCTCCCTTCATAGCCCAAGTGGTAGAGCAGCGGCGTATTTAGGCGAAAGTTGTGTGTTCGAATCCTGCTCGTGACACTGACTTTTTTATCTCGACCAATATCTTAAATACAGATTAATTACTTGAAAGATATTATTTGGTCAATCGGACCTCGAAAATTAGTGAATTTAATAATTTTAGTTTTGATACGATACTTTAATTTTTTAAAGTCTGTATTTTTTGATTTGGCATCAATTAAATTTTTTTATCTATTTCTTCACTGTCAGTTAATTGTTCATGAGAAGCCCAGAAGGTTTCATTTTTCGCTACATTTTACTCAAATTCCATTGGTTTAATTATTTTAGTATACGATGAATTTTTGAAGAGCAGCGGCGTATCTAGCCGAAGGTCGTGGGTTCGAATCCCGCTCATGACATTAACTTTTTTATCTCAACTAAAAACCTTAATTAATTGAAAGATATTAATTGGTCAAGCAGACCACGAAATCTAGTGAATTCGCAATAATTTAAGAAAAACTGTTTGAATCACTTATAAAGCTTGAAATTTCACAAAATTCGATGTATCGATATTCTATGCACAACAGGCTATAGTTTAATATAAATATTTAGAAATATTAGTCTGTTTGCATTGTAATCCAAGAAAAACTAAAATACTAAGCATGGTCTTTGTTAAGTATGTTGATACTCAGCTGTATTTCAATTAAGGTAAATTATATCATTAATTGAACAAACATCGATTTATCTTTAGGCTCGGACTGGTCGAAGCTTTGTTTACAAGCGTTGAATTATTATAATCAATTGTATTTCCCAAAGCGTTCAATAACTCGTTATTGATCTGGCCCAATTACTTTTTAAATTGAAAATCTAATTGGGTCATGATTATGAGAACGTCGAAGAGTAATAATCAAAATTGAGCAATTTCAAAAAATTTATGAAGACTATTTCATCATCGGTCATCCTTATTTTCCAGTGGTCAATTGGACGGTTATTAGAGCGACGGAAAACGATGCGGAAGCCATATACCGGCACTTGACAGAATCTTTCTTTCTCGACGAGCCTCTGACGATGGACGCGAGAGGTCGTATGTCCATGGAGGACATGTTTGCTTTGAAGGCGCTTCCCCAAAATTTGTCTTTCATCGCCGTGGACAATACAGGAAAGATCGTCGGCACAGCTCTCAATTATGACAATGACAACGAGCCAGAATGTGACGATCCGAGCGAAGACGATCCTTTCTTTCAAGAGGTAAGGTTACAGTTGCTAACAACATTGCTGGGCTTTATTTTAAAACCTGAATATAATAAAGAATAGTCAACGTTATACCGTTTATTTATCATTTCAAACTATTGCATTTGAATGCAACTAGTTTCTTACCTATCGCATGTTGCGTTTGCTTGGCGGAATTGCATGCTATTTGTCACGCGCTTGTGTGCCTACCTTGCCTGTAGCAACCTCTGTAAGGTTACTGCTGGCCATGCAGGTCCTCCGTCGACCCTTGTTCTCTTTTGGATAGATACCATGAAGTGGAGCACTTGGTAAATGGTGGTAGTTGTTTGTATCAAAGGTTTGGACGAAGAAAAAAAAGTAGAGGTCGAGGCGGCAAAGGCCCGCCCAACTTCCCGACATAACACCACGATACTCTGACGGTAAAAATGCAATAAAATAACAAGATTTTGTCACGCGGAAGGAAACGGAAGCATCGGTAGGATGGGTGGATTATTGATATGTTCCACTCGTATGATCTGACAAAAGGAGTCATCTTCACCCAATAAGGAATAAGTCATGCAAGGTTGAAACACGGACACTATTTTTGTAGAAAAGCCGGCGTAATAGACAGTAGGTGTGTCTAGCCAGTAGACGCAATTTTCTAGATGTGTCCCACGACATTGAAGGGTGTCATTCCGTATAGAGAGCGTGTTGGAGTGCTGCCTGATATGGAAATAGTGCTGTCCCTTAAACATCGTCTTGGCCTTCTTTCTTTATACTGTTCCTAAAGCCGTTTATGGCTTTCAGATTTGTGTTGCTTTTTTATTATAGACGGAAGCTGACAGAACTTAGGAGTCAGAATGAGAGGGCATTTTTAAAAAAAAGTAATAATAATAATAATAAATGCTCCTCACTCTCCCCAATCTTGTTCTTATTTGTTCTCTTATTAATTCTTTGTGTTTGACTGACGGTCGCATCTCAACCCAACCAATATTAAGTGGGGGAGGTATGGCCTTTCCGTTACTTTCTTGATTCTTGCTTGTGGTTGGTTAGGTAATCCTTGAGTAGCTTTGTGGTGATTTCTGCCTTCTGAAACTTAGCGCCGAAATCTCGCTCCAGGATGGGCCCCGCGGAGGCGTCCGTTTGGGAAATGGGGGAAGAGCAATGATATGGCAATTTTATAAAGCTGTGTTAAGCGATGGTCTTGGTGCTTCAGCGGCGCTGCTTGCTAGGCTGGCCAACCTTTTTGCTTCATCACGGCCCTCCAAAATTTTTGGGTAGCCTTAAACCCGGCTCTACTAGCAATCATACCCCGAAGTGAGTCCATGTTTGCTACGTCATAATTCGTTTCGTATAGCCATCTCGTGCGAGGTACGATGAACATTTCGCAAAAGAAGGCTACATGGTCAGCCGTTTCCAGATCTCCACACGGGCATGATGGGCTGGGCTTCAGGCCGAATTTAAACAATTTCGCCGAAAAGTCGCCATGCCCAGTCAGAAGTTGCGACGTCCAGTGGTCTACACTGACATGTCTTGTATCAAGTCGCCTTTCAACATTCGGGAAAATGGCGTAGGTATGTCTACCTTTAGTCGACGTATCCCTCCGGCGCTGCCACTCCTCCCGCAACCATCTATCGCATCTTGTGCGCTCGTGACATGGATACTGGGTTGGTGTCCATTTGCTATCTCCCAGGCGGCGGTCATAGCCCTTGCTTGTAAGTCCAGCGGTGTTTGTAAGGCATCCGTTGAGGTTGTTCGGTAGGCTTTCGTTACGGCCAATAAAGCCGACCTCTGTGCACTGTCCCTTAAATATCATCGCCGATCACATATTTGGATACCGCGGCTACCACTCGAATATTCACTACGCGCACCGTGTTGTCGACACCATCGCTAACTCCCTCATGCTTAATCAATACTGCCCTTGTGTTTCCTTGGCATATCCCAGGCCTTTGGTCGTGTGTGGCAAGATGGTTTATTGTGTAAGCTAAAGGGCATCCTTCCATTTACATACTACCTTATCCTCAAATCCTTCCTAACAAAACCTATACTTCCAAGTAACCCAAGGTAACTCTTCCTTTTTTATTTCTCCCATTTAAGCCAGCGTTCCCCAGCGAAGAACATTTGCTCCCTTACTTTACTCCTTCTTTACGTCTGGTCTTCCATTACATTCCGACACCTTAACCTTCACATACGCCGTTGAAATGGCAATCTTCACCCAAACATTGATTCTGTTAGTTCCATCCGCATCTTCCAATCCCATCTTCATATGCTTGAACCTTGGTGACGACAGTGTAGAATCAAGTTAAACAATCAAAAATCTAAATACTTAGTTTTCAATCTTAAACATACAACCCTCTCACCCGTCTATTTATACGGCACCCTAATTCCTCCAGTGAAGAGTATACGACATCTTGGACATTACTTGGACAAGACTGTTGTGGAATCCACACACCTCACTAAAACGAATTGACTGTAACCTTCGATTTAAAATGCTGAAGAGACTTGTTGACAAAAGATCTAAACCGACATTACTTAACAAAAAATTATTATACACTACCCTAATCGCCCCAATTTAGACCTACGGACTGGAACTATATGGGACAGCCAGGCGTTTCCATGTTAACAAAATTCCATCCCTATAATCCGGACTTCTTCGCACAATAGTGATGCTCATTTTGCTTCACCAGTCATACTATTTACTCCGATCTCTAAATAACCTACGTCCCAAATTCTCATGACAACCCGTTAATTCGCAACCTGTCCAGCTCAACCATTCCTTCCAACCCTCTTAGGAAACTGAAGAGCAGGTGGTCTCGTGACTATCTGAATATCTAACTTCAGCAACTTCTACGGTCTGCGGTTGACTTCACGCCATGATGGCCAATACGGCCACTTTCCTGGATGGTGGCTGTTTAAATAAATCATCCAGACATATAAATGTTCATGCAATATTGTGTTTATAATTGTAAATACTATAATTTTTATTTAGAAATCGTGAGATGCGGTCTGGTGGTAGGTTTCAGAAAAACATTTTCTTTATCGTGCCAACGTTTCGATCTTTATTGAGATCATCTTCAGGGCCTGGGATTTACAAACATTGTTTACATATTACAATTACATTTTGGATGTGGAAAAGTGACACCCAGACGGCATCTCACGATTTCTAAATAAATATCGATTAACGGTCACTAATCACCACACACTAAAATTTTTGTTTGTTGGATTTTAGATCCAGTTGTAAAATAAATAAATGGAAAAAAGATAGATTTAGTGAGTTAATTGTGGAGAACAATCAAATGTTTGCTTATTCAGTTTTACACCATCATTTTGAAGAAATAAATAACCCCTCCCATGCCCAACCAATTGATCTTATCAGGTAACCACTTCACTACCAAACTTCTGACACCAATGGAGTTTATATCGGCACACAAATTTTTATCAGAAATTCTATTAACACTTTTATTCACAATTTATAAAATAATTTATTATAGTACTGATATATAACGTATTTTGTTTATACTGATTGTATTTATTAGCGTGTGTGGGCAAAATTTTGAAAAACCCATAGACCGCTACTTAGAGGATTTAAGTAATAATACGTGTAATGGAGGAATATCAAGTACTCCAACACACTAACTGAATGAATTGTAAATTCTACTTGTAAATAAGCAAGGGTAACTAGAAACTGATTGTGTTGCGGACTGAAATGACTTAGCTGTTGATAGCCCATGGTTGGTGGCTGTACGGATAAGACTGAGGTCTACCAAAAGCCGCGGTGTGTAATACTCGGGCTCAATCAATCGGGGTGATCAATTTATTGTGATTAGGGTAACTGCGTGTGCTCATTTCAGCTTATATAAAACAGTAAACGGTAATTATCGCCTAAAGATTTACAGAGCTACTTTCGCTTCAAGTAACGTGAAAGCTGTTAGATCAGAGGATTAGGTTACAAACCCCCTACTGATGCACTCGTTGTCTGAGGGGTGCTGGTTCTGTTCCCAGGATGCCTCTGCCAGGGGAGTAAGGAGAAGAAAGGAAAATTAGGAAAGGAAGGATATAGGTTAGTACAGACGGGTATAGGTACACAGACAGAATAAACACTGTGCAGATACTGCCAGGAAGAGTATGAGACCGTCGAACACTTTTTATGTTTTGTGAAGGTCTATGGGGTTCAGATTCTTGCAACTAGTACAAGAATCCACTGGAAAGGCTAGGTTGATTAACAACCTGAAACTGGCCAGATAATTATAAAAATAGGGGAGCACAATAGATCAGAGGATTAGGTAGGTTGTTAAAAGGTACAATTTTATATAACGGTCTTTGATTTAGACTTGTACAAACATGAATATCGTTATAAACAGACTCCATCTGAAATAGCCTGGAGAATTTTTGATGTATGTCGGGCTGGATAAATTTAGAGAGTTTCAAATGCATAGTCGAAAACAACATTTACCGATTGTAATATTCAAATATCACGGTCAGGTGTATACATAAAAGGCTGACTTTGACCTGGAGTTTGCCAGAATCTGTTTTATAATTAAGAAACTGCTAAAAAATTAACAAATTTTGTTTCTACAGCTTTTCAGGATGTTCGAATATGCTGAAAAGGCGACGGGCAAATCTGAACCCGGTCTCATGTCTCTTCACCTCCTTTCTGTCGACAAGTCTCATCGGAGGCAAGGAATGGCGCGGAAGCTGGTCGAAGCGACCGAGGATCACGCGAGGAATTCCGGCTTCACGGGCGTCAAGGTCGAATGCACCAGCAAGTACACAGCTGATTTAGTTAGTTCCATGAACTACGAAAAGATCTACGGCCTGTTCTACAAAGATTTCCTTAACGACAAAGGCGAGCCTTCTTTCAACCCACCTCCGCCTCACACGGAGTTTCAAATTTTTGTCAAACGTTTCCGATAAATAAAAACAGATTGTTTCCTTACTGATAAAAAATGTACCTGAATTGAGCCGAATTATATATTTTTCAAGCTAAATGTAAAACGTATTAATAAAATTTTTTTTAAACTTTTTGTAATGCTGTTTTCCTCATTTGCTAGTCAAATATCCCTTTTCTGACATACATTGTTTTTAGATTTGGAGCCCAAAAAGGTTGAAATTTAACAAACCTAAGGCCGAAATTGTGTAGTTGGGATACATGGTCTGAAAGATTCCCTTGGGTCGTAACCGACGGAATAGATCCTCCCTGCGGTTATTACGAGTCAATCCAGTAGATCAATACAGCTAGTTCTTTACTAGGCTGTCCGTCGGTCGCCCTGGGGGTGAGTTAGACAATACAACATTATCTTGTCCGTTCCCACAGGGCCGACGTTTACACGTCATTAATTTCCAACCCCTGAGCCATAACTCAGCCTTTATATCACGTAATATCTGGCCCTCATTAAAATCCGTATCGCGTGCGTTTGTATGAATGTCATGTACACTGATTCACAATTTAACCTTCGTTTTGTGAGTCAAGCGGGGGCGGTGACTTGTTCCTGATGACCGTTTGCTGATGATGCGAAGGGGGCGATGCCAAACCTTCGAAAACCGCCGTGTTTTAAGAATTTCTTAATTCCAGCTGTCATAACCGCTTTTTAATTTTTCCTATTTTAAGTTTAAACCAAAAAATCATACACATTTTGGTGAAAAAAATTAAAAAAGCTTCTATTAAAAATAATTCTTCGAACTCGAAATTCTCATAATATGATTCTGGACCATCATTTTTTGGCAACTGCCACTCAATTATTTAACAGTGTCGTTCCGTTGTAGACTCCTTTCATGAGGTCTTGCTTGAAGGAAATGTATTTTTAGGTTAGGTTTGATCATCCGGGCTTACTGTTCATGGTCAATGGTATCCATCTATTCATCCACCTCATAGCTACCTAACTGAACAGTGTTTTCCAGTTAATGAAATGTATTTTTGCTGTACATTATCCTATCCATGCTGGTCAACCTCAAAGTAGAAATCTGACCCATATACTTTAGCAATTGAACATAGATGACATCTCATCCATTCTCGAACCACCAACTTTACACACAATACAGTGATTTTTTCAAGTAAGTTGTTCCTTTCCAAATAATATTTACACTTCACAAAAAGATCCGTTGTGTAGTTTACTTCATTATTATCCTCTCCCAACTTCGAACAAGGTATGATTGGTTCATTAACAACGACACAATTGAACCGACGTTTCACTGATTTGAGCCTTTATGCTTTAAGATTTGCATATGAGTTTTGAATTTATGACAAGATGTAAGGCTCATTCACGTCTTTTTGTTAAAGGCTCTGAATTACGCCTCACGAATAAACGCTGCTTTGTAAATCCTGAGTAAAGCCGACAGGGACTTACGGATTAGAAGTGTTGGATTCAGCCAGGCATCCCATTCAGCCACTATCCCCCTATCAAAACTTCCCAGTACTTAATTCTAACAAAAGTCATAGATTTTTATGTGTTCTAATAAACTATATAGACATAAATTTTGAACATTTTGTTCAAGTATAATCTGCACCAACCACCAATAATCCAAGGATATCTGCTTTCGATACTTTGCCGGCAATCTGGTGGTCTGTGACTGGAGGTCTTGAACTCCTGGCTGGGCACATGTTCGCATCTTTACTCATGGGTGTTGAGACCAATGAGGAACGTTAACGTCCGAACTTTTCCCCGAGGGGACTTCTCAGACGCCCAGTGTTCTAGAGGAGAACACCAGGAAGATTTTACATACATGGACATTCCTTGGCTAGCGAAGTGGTGCAACCAAGTTCAGAAGTGCCCTGTAAAGAGCACATCTATAAATGAGCCTTGAAGAAAAAACAGTTTTGTGGCTTCTCTCACAGACTTTCAGCCGTGTCTTTCACCACCCCCGGTGAGATAGAGAAGGCATTCTATCTCCGGATCTAGTTTGCCGGTAACTCCAGCTAAGGTAAAATTTGTTTGCAAACCACGACCACCACGAGACCAACCTCAATTATTAGAACCGCTTGGATACTCTACTCCCGTAGTTCAGTATTATTTTTAAGGTAGGACTGATCGCCCACCCGGGAGTTCGTACAAACCCCCTACTGATGCACCCGTTGCCTGCAGGGAGTTCAATAACCCAAGAAGCCTCTTCCAAAGCAGAGAGGGTAAGGCAAAGGAAGGAAATTTAGGAAAGGACGGGTATAGGGTAGTACAGACGGGTATAGGTACCCAGACAGAAGAAACACTGTGCAGATACTGCCAGGAAGAGGATGAGAACGCAGAACTCTTTATGTTTTGTGAAGGTCTATGTGGGTTCAGATTCTTGCAACTAGTACAGGAAAAGCCACAAGCAAGATCCTACCCTAAGGAGCCACTGAAAAGGCTAGGTTGATTAACAACCTGAAACTGGCCAGACAGTTATAAAAAACCTCAGGTCGTGGTGCAGAAGGCTTTTTGGCCGCCTCTTTTTTCCTTATCCCTCTATTCGTATATCTTGATGTCACTTTTGCCTAGAAGTGAGTCCGTCATCTTTACAACCATTGAAATCGACCAAATACAAAAAAGAAAAGGGTCATATATTTTGCTACAACACCAGACCTTTTTGTAAATAGACATACAACACACAAATACAATATTATAAAAAAAAAGCTAAGCATGCAAACATTCTGCTGTTTTTGTTGCTAAGGTAGAGAAAATGAGACGTGTTTAGTGTTTTTTTTTATTATATCACGATTTTCTTACAAATCATTCAAGCGGGATGGAGAAAAAGGGCACATCAAAAGGAGTGCTTTTTGAAGGGTCGGTCTGCCCGCTCCCAGGATTCCTGATGAGAAACAATATTTATGTAGGTCCACTCTGTTCAAGTTAATCCAAACAGTCTGAAGGATAAGGGCTTGTTTATCCAATGGTCCATAGGGGTAATCAACAAGTTTTATTCCTTTAACAACATTACGAAAAGGGAGGAGGAGGGAAAACTAAGTTTGAAGAGGAGTAGATAAAAAAGTTTCCGCTTATGTAATATTTTAATAAATTACCTAATAAACTTGACCGTTCCTGATCATTATTTTTTTTCCGAATAACCGTAGCTTAGACGGTCGAATTTTTAGCATTTGGTTTATTCGATTAGAAACAGTCTGTTTTAGGTTTTTTTCAGTTTTTGCTTATTGCACCATTATATTTCAAGAAGAAACCCATGAAATTATGAGATTTACTCAATCCAATTTCATCAGTGGATAAAAAAATCAGTGTTATGTCGGATAGCCAGACAGACCCATGAGAGCATTAAAGTTACACCTTGCTGGCTCCCAGCTGAAGGGGTAAAAACAAATAAGCGTATGCTTGTAAGGAAGAGGGCTGCTTTACCTGAATTCTTTCGTGTATAGTGATCCATATTATGAATAATCGATCAGGTTTCGTGGATCAAATAAATTCTTTTCAATTAATTAATCTTTAAGTAAGGTATTAGTCGCGATAAAAAAGTCAGTGTCACGAGCGGGATTCGAACCCACGACTTCAATACGCCGCTGCTCTACCACTTGGTAACCAACCTTGAATTCTCCCTCCTTTTTGCCGTTTTTCAAATTTTTTATCTTGACCAATAACTTATTTAAAGATTATTTAATTGAAAATAATTTATTTGGTCAAGTATACTTCACTAAAGCTCTCCGTGGCCAATTCATTTGTCGCCGACAATCAAACAGATTACACGACATTTGAAAGATGGCAAAAAGGAGGAAAAATTCAAAATTTGGGGTTGAGATTGGAAGTCTGTGTCCGTGTGGATCGAAGTCTCGAAAGCTGAAGTGGTTAGAGCAGCAGCGTATTTAGTCGAAGGTCGTGGGTTCGAATCCCGCTCATGACACTCACTTTTTTATCTCGACCAATATCTTACTCAAAGATTAATTGAGTGATAATGAATAATTCCTAAAATCTTAGAAAAGAAGACATGGTTAATGTGAGGAAACGATGGACTCCCTACAGGACACAAACAAAATCCTACTGGGAAGAAAGAAACAGTAGAATGAAAGAAACAAAGAATGAAGAGACTCCGAATCTTAAAAGGGAAGTCACAATGCGTACTTGAGGTAGATTAGTCAATTATCAGACTTTGGTCAATTGGGACTTTTCAGTCCTATTTGATGTGGGACAACTTTCTGAATTATTCAGGCCTCTGCACGGGACATACATATATGATAATTTCACAAAAAATGTTGGTTTTTCAAAGAAAAGGTTGCTAAGTAAAAATTGATTTTTGAACATGTAAATCACTTTTCAAAGATTTTTCTTTTAAAGTATTTGACAATTTTTTTAAACAGACGGAGCTTGTAAACAATATGGAGAACAAGATGGGTGCGGAAGAAATTCGTAACCCAGCTCCTTTTATTCACAGTATGATCTTTTTCTACTTTTGCAAGATTTTTAATGCTTTATTAAATTTCAATGCGGTGGGTTGTAATCGAGATGGTCTAGCTTCTAAAAAGAAACAGTTAACTCTTGCAATGTGTCGATCAGCAGGCTACAATCAGAAGTGGATGTCCTTGCCAATCAGAGGTCGGCTGAAAAGCTCATATGCCCTGAACGCTTTTGTGTCATTTGGATCCAAACTACCAATACCTTTTAGGAAAGAAGACACAATGAAAGTGAGTAAACTATAGAATTCATTCACTGGACACAAACAAACCAGAAAACTCATGTTGAGATTTGAAAAGAAACAAACAATGGAATGCATCGAAGGATGTAAGAGAAAATTCCAATTCTTAATTATTCTCCCTTGAAAAATATGTTAATGTAGAGCACATATTAAATAAAAGTTTTATCATTGTTAAATGTGAGCGGACATCTTTGCTAACAATAGTTTTGTTTTGTAAGATTTTCTACTGAAGACTGCGATGTGATGAACCTGAAAATAATCTAAAACCAAACGGAAAAACGTTTATTTATACGGAGTCCTTGGCTGTAAAATTGCAAGTAATCATGCTGTAATTATACAGTATAAATTGTGCTTATCCAGGTGGTGTTCAGCGATGCATGAACAGTCGTTACTGTTTCCATGGAGTAATCTGATACAC